AGTTTCCATATTACATTATAATTCTATATAAATCCTACATTTTTCTGTGAAAAAATACTCTTACCAATTTTACATCAATTAGAATCTTCTAAAGTTTGTTAAGTCAGTAAATAGATGCGTGGAGGTGAATCAATAAATAACGATGCGAGCATAAGTATACTATGACGTAAAAACATTTGGACAAATAGAGGGATTATAATTTTCGCCGGTGGCTTTTCGATTTTGATTGCCAGTTGCAATCGTCGAGTCGAGTTTATCACGCCCGCATACAATTTTATGCGTACACGTCACATTTCTGGCGTTATCTGTCGCGCAAACACAGACGAGAATCGCGAAAAAAAAAAAAAAGAAAAAAAAATATACGGAAAACAGAGAGTCCGTTCAAGTTCAAGCATGCCAATTGAGTATATCACGGCTTAATACTAAATTAAATTCGAACGATTAAGAACTCGAAAGAATGCAATTTCAAGTTGTGTTTGAATAACAATTTTCACATTTTCTAGAAAATTATTTGAAAACTAGCGAACTTCTTAAAAGATTTACTTTTTCCAATAATTTATTTCCTTCGTTCAATTGTAATGATTCACATTGATGATGATGATCAAGATAATGAAAACATTGATTTTCAGTATTTTTATATATATATATATATATATATATATATATATATATATATATATATATATATATATATATATATATATACTTTATTCGAAAAAGATTTGACCGAGATAAGATACTATTTTAAAAATCGTCTTTTCAATCTTGGCAAATAAAGTACAGTTAATTTCAAATGGAAAATAATAAATCAATTGGAACAACTCGTTATTTCAAGTTTTTTTTTTCATTTCAAACATTTCTCCCAAGTTTGATCTCGATTAATCAGTTTATTTTAAATTCATTCGTCCAGCCGGCCGACTAAAGCAAATAAAAGACCCACGATCGATCAAAAATTTATTCTATCGCGTTTATTTTTGAATCATTTCGTTTCCTGTGCCAAATTTTCGTTTTCAATATCCAATATTTGTCGTAAATATCACTCTCAGTTTCTCAATACAATTGTCAGTAATTTTATTTTATAATTCAATCAATATCTAATGATTAATTTCACGTTGAAATATCAACAATTGTATTGTAACGTATATTTTATTGTGCAAAATATTATTGCACTTTTTCCAGTATTCAGGCAAATGTACTTGTCTCCCAAGACTTTTGCATTATGCATAGGAAAAAGAAATTTGGAAGATATGGTTTAGAAAGAAACTTCTAAAGTTTCCTGGTGGGTAATGAAAGATTCAGCTTTCCGCGAGGCTTTCACTTGGAAAACTGAAAATGAAGATTGTTTCCTCATCGTGGACGGTTGAAAGAGCCTTTGAAAAGACATTGTACTTCCGCTCCAGTATGTTGCCCCTCTAATATGCAAAGTAGGAGTCTTTTAGCCGACGATAGAGCGTTTCTGTGATCGGAATATAAAGAGTGATTCTTCCCTGTTGTTGGGAATTTCTTCTGTTGCATTGTTGCACACGTCACAGTAAAAGCGTGCAATGACCTACATAGGAAATTTCATATCAAATTCCTGCACCCTCGAGTTCTCTATAAACGGACGAAAAGGACAATAGGTCCTGCGAAACATCGTTTGTTATTACATTTTATTAATTTAGTGTCAACGCGTTTTAGTAAATGAAAATTCAGAACTATGTCTAATGAAATTTCACTGCGCTGAATCGTTAATAGTTTGAAACACTCTCCAATTCTCCTCGATTCGAACTTTCGATTGCCAGAATTTTCCAATTGAATTGCCGATTAATTAGTATAAATTTTTTAATTCTCCAATTGTCGAATCGAAACTCCCTAACTCTCCCTACTCGCTTCGAAATCATTCGAATCGGGGGATTATTCAGCCTCTGAATAATCTGAAAGATAGTGGCTTCTCGAACGTTTCCTTGTTGGTGTTATTTTATGCTACTCCACTGACAAACTCATATCTTCCGCTCGTGTTACTATGTCTACTTGTCGGTCGATTTATTACAAAGCGCCACGCTTCTCTGCGAAAGAAATTGAAAAATTGAAGAAGGAAAAAACGAATCATGCTGCCACGCTCGTCGCATTTAATTCGCGCCGGTGTTTGATCCGCTTATTTATAGAAAATCATTTCGATAATAACGCGGTGGCGGCCACTCGAGCGCGGATGATGCTCGTAGACAACCATCTTTCATTAGTTATAAAAGGGTTAGGCGGAGGGAAAGCCAAGCGAACAATTACGATAATGGTATTTTTCCTCGCGTCGTCCTGACCGGTGACACAAACGAACCAACGCTTGCGATAACAAAGCGTCATCATCGTCGCGTTCCGCCATTGTCCGTATTTATAGCGGGCTCGATAAGTCCGATGATATATCGATGCAAATCGATGTGCAAGCAAGACACGTGTTACAAAGACACTTACATACGTGTGACTTGAACGAAAAAGAGAAACGAGAGGAAAATCGTGACGATTGTCGATGATATTCCTATCTAGCTAAAGGAGAGACTTCTTTAGAAAACTATATATATATATATTTTTCTAAATTGCAAGTCTACTTTGTGATCCGTTTGTGACCTACGAAAGGCAATCATGAGATCATAAGTGTTGTAATAACTGTTGTAGATACGATTATATATTACGTGCTGGAATGCCTTTAAAAGCTAAATTATTGCAATTATTATTAGAACGACTTAAAAGTAAAAATGTCGACGAAAAAAGGAAAAAGATAAATGTCTAATGTAAGAAGTTTGCTTGAAGATCATATCAAAACTGAATCGTCCATCGCCCGTGCGTGCAAGTATGAATAATTAAAGCAGATCAACTTCGATTTCCCTTCTTCGGATAGTCATTACGGAAGTCCTATATTTTTTTAGTAATGTTTTCAGTAGCAATTAAACCGCGGATTTTTACAAATCCAATCTCGTTCCAACGAAATGGAACCTGCGTATAGATTTATTTCGCGCGTTAAATACCTAATGAGTACCTACCTGTGCATCGCTGTCGATATTTTCTGCATCGTGCATTTCACGTTGCGTTTTCGCACTTCTTCAACTTGCCGCGAGCCCGGTAAAAATCCTCCCGGTTCATTAATACTTTTCAATTTCCCCTCTCCAAATAATTATCCTATACATCAGCCTCCGCTCGATCGAGAAAATGTCACGTCGAACGAGCGGACGCGGCGGATAATCGCAAAAAACGAGCAACAGCGCGAGCCTAACCGCGATGAGAGTTCCCTCTTTTTCTCCTCCTCTCGTCGCGAGTTTTTGCACCCTCAGATAAATGTCGCGCGATCACGGTGACGTCGGCCGCCGCGGAAATTAATTTCTTCTCGATAGAATCTTAACGACGACGGGGACCCCCGCGGTACGCAACTTACGTATGAGCCGTTTTTATCGGCGTTTTACAATCGGCGTGTTACACAGTTTGTTTGCTCGGAATTTTTCGAGACAGAGAAAGAAGAGAGTGGCCGCTAGCCGGTTCAGCTGTTTGCACGATTTATCGTGCCCGATCATCGTTGGACAACTCGCTCGAGGACTCTTATGCTCGAGCGAGTTTTTCCTCGTTTTTTTTTTTTTTTTTTTTTTTTTTTTCTTTATCGGGGTGTCCCGATCCGCATGAGAGATCGTTCTTAAAAACCGGGCCGATAATAGTTCTCTAGAGCAAATATTTAAGTTCCATGGAATTTCCTCCCGGCGCGGCCGGGGTTCATCGGCGACCTGGGGAACTTGGCGAACGGGCCGCGTCCCGCTTATAATAGCCATCCTCTGTTTGCTCGGAACGAATTACGCTCGCTCGTATTTAAAACAGGTGTTTAAAAAGCAGTTAGAGTAGTATACTGTGAATAGCTGATCGAGTATTTAACGTGTAACGCGACGTGTCGCTTCAAATTCGTTCTTCTCGGGCAAGCTCTCTAGCTTAGGCTCTGGATCATCATTTTTTTTTACCAATTATTTATCGTTTCATTTAACTTTAGGTAACGTACTGGAGCGAGTAATTGAAGTAAAGGAGTATCGAATAAAAAAAGTATTATATCTATAGATGTAGAAGTGTTTTATTATTTATTTTATATATTATTTTATTTTAAGTATCATATCTGCAAAAGTATTGTTTGTATCTACAGAAGTATTTTATTACTGGAATAAAAGTAGAGAAACATTATATCTGTATATGTTGAGAAAATGTACAACGAGCAGTCTTGAGGATTAGGCAACTTCCCTTCTTTAATACTCGTGAATTATTCCGCCACGAAATAAAAGGGACAAAAGCACGATGGAAGACACTTTGCTGGATGTTGACGCAAACGACGACAGACATATTGCCACGATTTATTGGTTGATTCAAGTGCGCTCTCCTTGACTCATTATTCGAAATTACTACCGACTCGTTCGCGAATCGAACTTACAACCTGTTGCCAGGAATGCAATACTAGTGACTTCTTTGTTGAATTAGAAGCTACAATATAATACAATGAATTATTATACAATTATACATCACATGTAAATTTCCTCTTGCTTGTTAAAGACAAATTGCGATTTAAATTACAGAGCCATGAAATCATAACAATCGGTTAATAATTGCGTCATCAATCGTGTGCCATGTCAGAATAAAATGAACATCCGTTTTATTAAACTCATTTATTACAAAAAAAAAAAAACTTGAAAAGTAGAAGAGATACTCTTTAGTGGAATCTGTTAAATGTTCAATGATTTTCAAGTACCCCTCTTAAATTTTTTTGCGACCGATAATTTTTAAATTCAAGCAACACCAACATCCCGCACTCTTTATTAAGCTCTGTTCAAAATAGTAAATCAATGCTGCGTTCATTTTACTCCGATATGGGACAAAGTACATCGAAAGAGATAATGAAAAGAAAAGAAAAGAAAAAAAAGAAAGAAAAGTAGGTAAAAATACCTGCTCGAGTTCAGAGTTTCTCGGATGTCGTTAACACGGAGACCATCCGTAAATCACTGTTGCAGGTGAGAAGCCGCACAAGTGCGTGGTATGCGGCAAGGCGTTCTCCCAGAGCAGCAATCTGATCACACATATGCGCAAGCACACGGGTTACAAGCCGTTCCAGTGTGGTCTCTGCGACAAGGCGTTCCAGAGGAAGGTCGATCTACGACGACACCGGGAAGGACAGCATCCAGCCGCACCGGCCCTCGATTATCGCTCCCTTCAGCTACCACCGCAGCCTGCCAACGTCAGACAATCACCGTCGTCGCTACAACCTGCCGCCGGTTATCACGTGATACCTGTTCCTGGTAACAGTTGAGATTCTTTCACCACCTTCCTGTCCGCGCCCGAAACTTCCCCGGAACCTCGCCCCGATCGTTCGCCAGCACCGTGTGCCTGTCACTTGTTTCTTTTCCCTCTTTGCCCTCGCGCGTCCAACAGACGAACGGAAAGAGAGAGTTGAACAGCGATTGCGCCGGGTTTCAAATCGGAATTCATTCGTGGAGAAAACGATGTTGAGTGAGCGGATTGAAAATAGTGATATCTAGGAGGTGTATCTATCACACACGTGTGTACAGAGAGTGTTGAGAAACTTAATAGTTTGTTGGATTGAACTTGATTTCAAAATGAGATTTTTCGAAATTCTGGAAATCTTATATCGGAAAAGGAAATATGCAATAGCCGATTCGTTAACGATAATTCTCGTCAATTTTTTCTGGCTCTTACGATTATTGTGTATAAACTTCATTTTGATCTTGGGGGGGAAAAGAAATTGAAAATTCATCTGATCATCTTTGAATCTCTTCTCAACACCTTTATATATATATATATATAAATAAAGTCAAAAGTCACAACAGCATAGAAAAAGAATGCTCTGATGTACGACACGTAACAATCGAATGCAAATCTAAGAAAAGATTGTTGTATAATCGTAGAGTCGCGCCAATTCCAAAAAAAAAAAAAAAAAAAAAAATGATTTGTTACGTACGAAACGCAACAAACGAAACATATTTGCATTTTCTGTACGCGAAGAAGAAGAAGATTCGAGACGTGCGTAACGAACGTGTTAGATGTAGGCAGACCACCTGTTCCAAGTGGCTGGTTCTGTTAATAACCGGTACTTATATACCTCCGAGCTGTTCAACAATGAAAAGACGCCTTAGGGGAGGCACGCTTTTGCATATTTCTCGAGCTAAACTAGCGATCCTCGACGAGTGTTACGAGATCAAACACCCTCTTGAGGTGGAGAACCTTCAACCGTCCATTATTGCTGTATTTTGGGTATGTACATACATGTATATATATATATATATATATACATCTTATATATATATATATATAAGACAAAAATTTTATGTATATATATATATATATATATATATATACACGCATTCAAGCAGACGTGTGTATACATGTGTATTTAGATGCGTGTGATGTGTAAAAATATTGTATATTTAAGAAAAATTAGAGAAATTTGCAAAATTTATGAAAAGTATTGCTTAGTCCAAAAATTTTTATTTCGAAAGGTTAGTAAAATTCTTTCGAGTTTAAAGCTTGTTTTATGCTTGTATTGCTTGAAGCGGGGTAACAGATAGGAAATTGTCAAACAACTTTTGCCAGTAACAATTTCGAAAATCTTGAATCTGATTATTCAGATTTCACTCACTTGATTAACTTCTTTATTAAGAAACGAAAATCAATTTTCCCATATCTGTGCTATTGTAACAATTCGGAGAATTAAAAAGACGAAATTTTTCAAAAGAATTGCACAAAACTTCGTGCAAAGTCCGCTTTGAAGATATCATTGTCGTTTGACTCATTCATTTGAGTCATTCGCACTCGTAATGGTTGCGTGTAACAGACATTTGGCAGCTTGTCTAATCTTAAAATCTCGTCGTTATTGCAAATTGCTCGTGTCGATGCTCAAATTTGTTTCAATCGGCTGGAAACGTTCTTGAGCGTGTGTCGAAGGAAATAAAGAAGAGAGACGTAACCTCGTTGTATCTTGTATTTAATATTGTCACACGCGTGCGTTACATGTGCGTACACACACGTCCGCGCGTTAATAAATCCGTATATATTATATCCGAGCCAGCGTTACCAGTTGTGCACGTGCAGGGTTTTCAAATATTTAGGTGTACGTCTATTTACATTTACATTTAGAAACGATTTTACTAAATCGCTTAATCGCTCGAGTGGCAACGCGAACTATAATTTCTTTTTACTTGGGTATCCCGAGTCAGCGTTACCGGTTGCACGTGCAGCTATTTTTCAAATAGTTGAATGTAACGTGTAGAAACGGTTTCGCTAATCACTTAATCGCTCGAGTGGCAACGTAAACGATAATTTCTTTATATTTAAATATATCTCGAAGGTGAAGGAATCGATTGATTTTGCATTGGTCTTTGGACTCTGCGCAGAGATTTGTGTTTGTTGTTGTTTCGTCGGTGAATGAAATTCCTGAAAACGACAAATTAAAATTGTTTTTTATCGTAAAATGTTTCGTCGAGAAAGTGCTGTGAGGTATTCAATTAAAAAAAAAAGAACTATATTTCGAAAGATGATTTTTAATTGAAACGACGTATAGAACAGCATGAAAGTAATTAGCTGTAGTGTTAATTTGCCACTCGAGTGATTGGAAAGCAAAAAGAGTTCTTTCGAAGTGTGTCTTTGGATATAACTGTACAGCAGTCGTGCCGCAATAATCACCATGTGCTGCCCGATACTTCTTTCCTTTCTCATATTTTTTTATTTATTTCTACCTCCTGCAATCAGAGTCGCGAGTGGACAGAACGTTTATTTCAAAGGAACATGTCTTGCTTCAATTAGGTAATTTTCTCGAGTTTTATTATATTGATTTCACAGTGTTTTTAGTTTAGAAACTTTTGATCGCAAATATCGAGATAAATATTTATCATTGTTAGATATAAATTCATTTTGTATTTCTGTATTAATATCGCAATCTAATTGCTTTCCAATTAACGGAATTACATTTTTATTTGAATATGTTATGTAATATTCGAACAATATCGATTTCACGTTTAAGTGAAAGTTTTATTATTGAGAAGAATGAGAATCGTTGTTTTCTTCGTCGAGCAACTATCTTCCAAAACCAAAGGAACTTTCGTTCATCGTGTGCAATGAATATTAATTTCATGGAGACGCTTGTACAAGCGTGATTAAATTAAGAAATCGACTTTCTATTTGCGATTAAAATTTCTCTAGTTAACTGTCGAAATCTCAATGCGACGTCGAGAGCAAAAGATAAATTGTCCAACTGCTTCGTTCCATTCTATTAATTTCTACAATTTCTCAAATTTCCTAACTTCTTGACGAAATTATTAATGCAAGAAATTTAATTCGTTGAAATTATATTAATTACTCGAAAAAGAAAAAAGAAAAAAGAAAAACGAAATTAGGGAGAATAATTATTTTATTTTATTTTATTTTTTTTATTTTTTAGAGAAAATAATAAAAATGACTGTAAATAATCTCGTGTCCTCGTCGAATCGGAAGAGAGACGAGGCAGAAACGAGCGGGGAGGGGAAAAAAAAAAAAAAGAAGACTAGAAAATTTCAGTAGAAATTCCGATGTCTGGCAAAGAATCATAGCGGCTAGAGGACCAAAGATGTAGCGTAAGTCGGACCTAGTCGAAAGGTATTGTTCGGGTTCGAGAAAATTGTAATTCACCGTCGAGAATTGTTACGAGCATGTGAATCGTAAATCACCACACCCGAAAATTCACCAAAGACTTTGGTCCCTTTCTGCGTGCGAATTGTATTATATATATATGTACCTACCATTAAGATTAATCGATCGTGTTCCGATCGAAGAGCGCGAGTTTTTGAAGAACGGTGAATCGTCAAGCGAAACGTAATATCTCACTCGGATATCTCTAATCGCAATCGTCGGGACGAATTGTTAAACCGCGTGAGACCACGTTTCGAGAGGCGATTGGCAATTGGACTGCCGATTTTTACGCACTTACGGGAAACTGGAAATTATCCAAAATGAACGTTGTACGCAAAAGACGCACAAAACATTGAGACTAAGGTATATCAAACGAAATTTCTACTCGAGTTTCATTTGTTTCTTTTTAGATATCTTTATGCAGAAATTTTATAACGCGTAAAAATCTGTAGTCCAATTGCAATCGTGATTTGTCGATTTTAACTTTCAAACTGTCATGATTAATACTATATAGACTTTGTCACTAGGATTCTTGAGATCAATCATGTTGGAAAATGTCACGATCGATATTACGACTTTCCACTGTTTTTTTTTTTTTTTTTTTTTTTTTTTTTAGCAAAACAATGATACTGTGTTTGAACATAAATTTCTTGGCAAATGACAGTTTGAAGGTTAGCGCGACGAGAAATAAGATTTAGATAAGGGAAGAAAGGCCGATGCGTCGATCAGTAGATTTATGTAATTGTACGCGAGCATGAGAGATGCGTGATTGTCGAGCGTGTTTGAGAGAACTTTGTGTTATATCGGTAAAACCAAAAAATATGTTTATAATTGGTATAAAAAGAAACGGTATCGATTGAATAAATTGTTTTTCTTACAAAATTACTTGTGTCAAATTCATTTCTCCCAATCCTCTCCTTCTTTACAGAAATTACATAGGAGCCTTCGTATTCATATGAAAAGTAATATTATAATATATGATAAAGTATATAAAAAAGTAATATGATAAAGTATATAAAATTATAAAAACACTGATACTTACGTGAAGAACCTGCTTTCTGTTACTCGTAGTAATTTTATAACAGAATATTATTTCTAATTTCTAATAGTGGAGTATGTTACTTGCTTCATTTGACGAACAATTATATGATATATCATAATAATACAGTTATTAATATAATTGTTACTATTATTCATAATTAACAGAATCATTGTCAATCCAACGCAAGCAGCGAAGAAACAAGAATAGTCCATTAGTAATAAATAATAAATTTAAAGTTAAATAAATAAATAATAAATTTAAAGAAATAATAAATAATAAATTTAAAGAAATAATAAATAATAAATTAATAAATAAATTTAAAGAAATAATAAATAATAAATTAATAAATTAATAAATAATAAACTTAAAGAAATAATAAATAATAAATTAATAAATTAATAAATAATAAACTTAAAGAAATAATAAATAATAAATTAACACGCTTCATCAATGAGTTTCACATTATTATCGGTCAAATACAAATAACAAGAAAATGATCGAAAATGATTAGGTAATTAATAGAGAAAATACGAATCATAAATAGAGAATAAAACCGTTTGAATAAATAATTTCGCCGGGACGCGAGGAATTATCGGTAACACCTTTTCGCGAAAGCTCCTCGGGAGGTATCATCAATAATTTCTTCTATTCACGTGAGCGTAGGTTTCATGGCGTTTCGCTTATCTTTTTGGTATAACAGTTAGCGTAGGCTCGCTGCGACACGCCGCAATATAAATAACGAGTCGGTAAACAATAGCGCTTTTTTTCCAGAGCCATTCGCGTCACGCTATGCGGATGGCTCGAAGCATGATGCCTACCACAATGCAATTACACCTGCCGTTTTATTCCATAATCTTTATATTTTTATTAGGTCATCCGGCTGCTTATGACCCATAAAGTGCAACGTGAAACGGAAGAAAAAAAAAATGGAGAGAGAGGTAAGTGTAATAAAACGGTGAGAGAAACGATTGGGGGGAAATGTAATGAAAGCGGCCGAAGAATAATTAGGGAGATGAACGAAATTAAAATTGGGGAGAAAAATTATAAAATTTATGAAAAGAAAGAAAGATGGAGTCTGTAAATTATCTAAAATAATATGTAATTAAAGAAATGGTTAAAACGAAAGTAATTCGTGAAAGAAACGAGTGTGATAAAATAAATAATCAAATACGATATTTCCTTTGAAAACTATCACACAGTAGTTGATACGATTATCATACAGTAGTTAATTCATTTATCAATTAGAAAAAATATACTAAAAAAAAATGTATATATATATATATATATATACTACAAAAGAAATATACTAAAAAGAAAAAAAAATACAAAGAAGTTTCGTCAGATTATCTTTATATTTATTATTTACCTCGCCAATAGTTCCACCTAGCAACTAAAAAAATTTCAATCCTCCTACATGCATCTACCCACATAGTGATTTGTATAATATCACTCGGAATTTAAGGAACTTGTATTTTATATTCTATTCAGGTAAAGATTAAATTCATTTGAAAACCGAAAATACTTTCCAGCATCGACGTCGACTTAATAATTTCAGTTAAACTTAATAATTTCAATTAAAACGCAGTATTATGCCGACCGTTTGATAATTTATCCCTCGATCGTCGGTAGTATTAGGATTAATTGAAACGTTCGAACACGACGATTTCAAATTGAAACGTTTCGGTTCCGCTGTAGAAGCCTGCGAGCGAAGCAGGTGAGAAAAAGGTACAAAAGAAAAAAAGAAAAGAAAAGAAAAGAAAAGAAAGAGAGAAAGATGGGGGAAAGAACGGAGCGAGGATCGACGGTGTAATAGATTATCGACGATTATCCTTTGCCTCGGGGACGAATTATCCAACGGTGGACGCCTCCTTCGAAGGATAAGCGATGAAAGCGCGATAGAAAAGGAGATAAATTACGCCAGATAGCATCTCCTTCCTTTATTTTAGCCGACGTTGGTCCACAGATTCTTGTCGAAACGTTTTACTAATCTGACACGGTAAACAATCACCTACCAACCGTTTCAAGAACATGTGTACTTAATGTGCATTTAATAATTTCATTGAATTATTACATAATAATTTCATATAATTATTGTAACATTTTCACGACAACTATTATTCATCACATATGGAATGTTATATGAATCAATCAATATTCAATGTTCATCATACCGTACGGAAGTTCATCGACTGATGAACTAGAGAACTGAAATTGTAAAATCGCGAAAAAAATAAAAAGTTATGCGTAGAATTGTACGGGAATTTGTAAAAAAAAATTCTTTTTTCAGTCTTTTCTAACTTGCTTTATCGACCCGCATGCACCGAGAGATACAACTGCAACGGATGAAAGAAAGTTCTACTATGTTGTTACATACGCTGTAAATACTGTTATAATAGACATTAAATATACCAATCGCCTGTATTATTGAATGTAATTCCATTCTATATATATAATATATAAAATTGCGAATTAAGTATCTATCTTACGAATTTTCTCGTTCGCCTCTGTATAAAAGAATAAATTTCTGAATTTCTGAAATTTTATTTTGCGTTCGATTCATTTCCTCCTTCTACAGATTGCTTCCGTTGCAATAAGCTTTTACGAAGAACTAAATACATATTCATACGATCGCAGTACTCGCTACGACTGGCTAGGAAGATTTATGGTCTGACACTTTATGGTTTACCTTCGCTCCAAGTATGCATTTATGCGAGTCACACCACTGAATTGACGACCAAGTTTCTGCATCGCTACGTACGACGTATTTTGACAGTTTGCTTTACGCTCGACGAATTAATAAATTAATTAAGTATAAAATAAAGTATACCAGTATACCAGTAGCATGCTTATTTAATAAATTCATTCCAACAGCTCAGTGGGTGAAAGATTTTAACAAGCGTACTTTTTACAGTTCAAGGACTTAATTAGAACGATTCGACGGTAAAAAGTTTACAAAATCAATTCTCTTGAACAGTTTCCTTTTTTTTTTTTTCAAAATAAAAATATAAACGATTTATGTAAACTCAAAACACTAGCATTATCGCATCCTGGGAAAAATGATAACATGCTAACGAATAATCGCCAGGTACCCGTTTTCTAGGACAAATTCATATACTTTTGGAATTAGTAAAATATACAGTCTAAGCAACGTTCTCACGCAGTTTCTAATAGTTCCTAATTCCTATTTAATTAATTATTAACAATCAGTCATTAACAGTTATTTGGGCAAGAGTCAGGGATCTTGAGATTTTTTATTAACATTGAAATTTTACGAAATGAATGGAATTAAAAGATCTTGGATCCTGTGCTTTTTATACTATTTCACGTCTAAAAATTCACAAATTAAATGTAACTTAAAATACATGAGAAAATTCGTCGCACGAGTCTTGCGCAATAACAAGATACAGTGCAAAAATTATTATGATTAATTATTCGAAAAAGAACTCTGCTATAAAATTATGCGAGAATAGTCTTTATTCCACGATTTCAAAAAACGCATGATTTTGTTCTAGAAATCGAGTAATTAATAAATAGTTCATAGACAAATCAGGCTATCGCTTCCTCCAACTAAGGTACTGGTACACTGCTATCTGTAAAATGGCGACGAAAAACTCGGAAATGTAACAGGAACATAGAATATGCATGGAGGTATCTCAACTCCTGTTAGACAAGGAGCGCAACACCGTCAGACGAAGACAGACGTACACCGCGTGACAGACAAGGAGCGCGATATTCTACGACAAGGACAGACATACTTTTCTCTCTAACCTATTGAATTTTCACTAATTATTTGAATTTCAGGAATAATTCATGCACTTTTGCCATTAAAGAATACAGAATAAGCCTTAAGCAACATTCTTATACCACTTTTGACATGATTGTCCATTTATTTAATTGGTTATTAACGATTATTGCGACGAGTGTCTGGGCGTACGCGACACATGTCTACAATTTTTCATTACTATCGAGCACTTGCATGATTAAAGCTCGTTATTTGGGATCGTAGAAGCTTCCTTAGACTCTGTACTCTCCGTTCCATGTACAAAGATTATTGATTAATTATTTGTTAATTCAAATTATGCGAAAATTCATCGCGTCGGTTTTCCGTAGTAACATAACACGGCGGATTGACGTACAATAATCATTAATAACTGTTAATTTAAGCAACGATTCCGATACAAAACTACGTGTGAATGTCGTTTATAGTCTGGTTTTTCTTCCACGATTCCAAGAGTGAATGATTTCAACCTAGAAGTCGAATAATTGATAAATATTCGATGAATTTGACAGAAAAGTACATGTATCCTTGTCACGTAACGTTGTTCTTTTCTATACTCGAGTGCTGCCATCTACCGGATTGGGATTGAAAACTTGGAAATGTAACAGGAACATAGAATATAAACAGAGGTATCTCGACTACTGTCAGACAAGAAACGCAATACTGTGCAAAAAGGACAGATATACGTGACGTAAGCAGAGAAGGAGGGCACTATCAACCGACAAGGACAGACATATTTCTCTCTCTAATCTGTTGAATATTCGCTAATTACTCGATTATCAGAAATAATTCATGCACCTTTGGGATAAAAGAATAAAGTGCAGATCTCAAGCAACGTTCCTATACAATTTTTGATACGATTTTTTGTTTAATTAATTAATTATAAACGATTCTTTCAAAAAGTGCCTGGGTCTACGCGTGATTGTAATATGCATGACTACGATTTTTCATTGGTAATGAGCTCTAGCAAGATTAAAGCTCGGTATTTGGAATCGTAGAAGCTTCCTTAGACTCTGTACTCTCCGTTCCATGTACAAAGATTATTGATTAATTATTTGTTAATTCAAATTATGCGAAAATTCGTCGCGTCGGTTCTCCGTAGGAACTTAGAACGACGGATTGTCGTGCAATAATCATTAATAACTGTTAATGTAAGCAACGATTCCAATACAAAACTATATGTGAATGTCGTTTATAGTCTGGTTTTTCTTCCACGATTCCAAAAGTGCATGATTTCAACCAAGAAATCGAATAATTGATAAATATTCGATGAATTTGACAGAAAAGTACATGTATCCTTGTCACGTGACGTTGTTGTTCTTTTCTATACTTGAGTGCTGCCATCTACCGGAGTGGGATTGGAAACTTGGAAATGTAACAGGAACATAGAATATAAACAGAGGTATCTCGACTACTGTTAAACAAGAAGCGCAATACTGTGCAAAAAGGACAGAGACACGTGACGTAGACAGAGAAGGAGGGCACTATCAACCGACAAGGACAGACATATTTCTCTTTCTAATCTGTTAAATATTCACTAATTACTCGAATTCTGGGACGAAATCATGCACTTTTGGAATCATGGACTAAAGTTCAGACTACAAGCGACATTCACATATAGTTTTTTATCGGCATTGTTGTTTAAATTAAGAGTAATTAATTATTACTGCACCACTGTCCGTTACTACCGATGATACCGGAGAACCGATGCGATGAATTTTCGCATAATTTGGATTAATAGAAAGTTAATTATTAATGTTTTTGTACGGAAAATAAAGTACAAAGTCTAAGGAAGCTTCTACGATTCCAAATAATAAGCTTTTATCTTGCAAGAGCTCAATACTAATGAAAAATCGTAGTCATGCATATTACAGTCACGCGTAGGCCCAGACGCTTGTTGAAAGAATCGTTTATAACTAATTAGTTAAACAAAAAATTGTATCAAAAACTGTATAGAAATGTTGCTTGAGATCTGCACTTTATTCTTTTATCCCAAAGGTGTACAAATTGTTTCTGAAAATCGAGTAATTACTGAATATTCAACAGATTGGAAAGAGAAATATGTCTGTCCTTGTCGGTTGATAGTGCCCTCCTTCTTTGTCTACGTCACGTGTCTCTGTCCTTTTTGCACAGTATCGCGCTTCTTGTCTGACAGTAGTCGAGATACCTCTGTTTATATTCTATGTTCCTGTTACATTTCCAAGTTTTCAGTCCAAGTTTCGCCACTCCGATAGATGGCAGCACTCGAGTATAGAAAAGAACAACAACGTCACGTGACAAGGATACATGTACTTTTCTGTCAAATTCATCGAATATTTATCAATTATTCGATTTCTTGGTTGAAATCATGCACTTTTGGAAGAAAAACCAGACTATAAACGACATTCACATATAGTTTTGTATCGGAATCGTTGCTTAAATTAACAGTTATTAATGATTATTGTACGTCAATCCGCCGTGTTATGTTACTACGGAAAACCGACGCGATGAATTTTCGCATAATTTGGATTAGCAAATAATAAATTAATTATTAATGTTCATGCATTGAATATAAAGGGCAGAGTCTAAGGAAGTTTCTACAATTTGAAATAACGAGCTTCAATCATGCAAGTGCTCGATAGTAATGAAAAATTGTAGGCATGTGTCGCGTACGCCCAGACACTCGTCGCAATAATCGTTAATAACCAATTAAATAAATGGACAATCATGTCAAAAGTGGTATAAGAATGTTGCTTAAGGCTTATTCTGTATTCTTTAATGGCAAAAGTGTATGAATTATTCCTGAAATTCAAATAATTAGTGAAAATTCAATAGGTTAGAGAGAAAAGTATGTCTGTCCTTGTCGTAGAATATCGCGCTCCTTGTCTGTCACGCGGTGTACGTCTGTCCTCGTCTGACGGTGTTGCGTTCCTTGTCTAACAGGAGTTGAGATACCTCCATACATATTCTATGTTCCTGTTACATTTCCGAGTTTCTAGTCGCAATCGGATAAATAATATAAGCTGAGTCGTAAAAAAGAACAGCGCCAGTGTACGAAGGACAGATATACTTCTCCGTCTTATTAAATATTCTTTAATTACTCGATTTCTGTATGAGCTTTGTACATTTATCATAGAGTAAAGACTAAATCATAAATATTCATGGTTTTTGGTCAGAATTTTAGTATAAATAATTAATTATTAACAATTATTACACGTAATTCTTATCATTACCGTATGAATTTTCATATTATTTGAATGACACATGTAATTAATTTGTCAATTTCTACGTGTGAATAGCAAAGCAGAATTTTTTGCGAAGATTCTATAATTAAATTAATCTTTTGAATGTATAATTATTAATATAATAATATTAATATAAAATTGGTGTTATATATTGCAAAATCCCTGATACTTGTCGAAACAATTATTAATTAAACAGAAACTCATTTCCAAAACTACGCAGTAATGTTGCTTAAAGTCTAGATTACGATATCTAATTTTAAATGTGTACAAATTTATCTTGGAAAACGAATAATTAGCGATTATTCATTCACTAACATACGATAAAATTAATTTCATAGTTTCGTCGCGTATGTATTTCGAAAATTCGTAAATTCTTCAAACTTTTATTTTGAAAGAAAACTAATTAAGAGAATTAATTTATGAACTTTTACAGTTAAATCGTTCTAATCGGATTCTCAATTTTCTCCTTTATACGATTCGAAAATCAAAATACATCTATTAAAGCTATACTTTTGTAATCTCGACCGACGGATTTATCTAATTGTCGTTTAAGTATTACCCGAGTCATACGATAAATTTATACATTTTTAGAATTTTTTAAGGAGGGGTTGAATTCAAATAACATTTACAAATTCAATTCTGATCATCAACTTTTATTCAAATAATTAATCATAGTTACATAGATATCCCGCTTGAATGGCGCAGCGAATTTTCACATAACATTACATCTAATTAGTTCGTAAGGTTTTACATATAGAAATTTTTCACACAGCTTCACACATTATGTCTAATTAATTCGCAAAGTTTTACATAATTTACATTACATCGAATTAATTCGTAAAAGTTTTACATATATAGAAATCTTTGTCTGGATGTTGTTTTCGCAATGAGAAACATCCTGCGTAGAAAAATATCTTCAACCGATTTAAAAACATATTCTTTAATAAAAGGCAATTAATTAATTGAAATGGGCTTCGTTGAGACTTCGCTAAAATATGGAGATCTTTCTCCCTAGATATTCTCGCGAAAAGAAACATTTAATCGGGCGTAAAACAGTAAAAACAGAAGTATCGAAGAAGCATAAAGAACTGAAAGCACTGAAAGAAAGAGCAAACGTCAGGAATATTTTTCAGCGCCGGATTAGGATAGCAGATGATATAATGTACAATTTACAGATAAAGTCCACGATACTTAAAATCATTTTAAAATTAATTACGCTCATAAGTTTTCCAGATACGTGTGTATGTTAAAGGATAACATAAATTTTATAAATCTTTCTCGGTCAAAATTCTCAGAACTAAAAATTAATTCCACGTTAGAAGAAACTGTTCACGCTATCCTATAATCGACGAAATCGACTGAAATACGATGTCAAGGCAAGTTGTAGCAATAGAATAGCCACGATTAGTCCCACGATTTTCATTCTAATGTACGCGCACCTATTGTGTAGATCTCTGTTACATTTCGTTAGACACGCTTGTATTCGAGGGTTCAGAGCTGCGTTCTTTGGCGAGACGCACCTTGAAATCGATGTCAAGCTAGCATACCTCAGAGTTCCCTTTTATGGTAATTAAGGTTCTTTGGAAAGTGAAATTCCGTCGATTCACCAAAACGTCGCATCAGGTTGACGATATCGAGTATTTCACTAATGGTTTGTTTGTCATCTCTTCAACAATCGAATACGAAACGAATGGACCACCAATTTATAACAGTAATTTGCATAGAAGATTTCTGTTTGTAGTCCCGATGAAATTTGAATAGATTTAGAAGAGCAAACTTGTCGAGTTACTTTTACGTACGAGTAAAAAATTTTCGTAAAATTGATTTTTGTAAAATTAATACTAGACTACGGATTTTTATGACTTATGGATAATTTAAATAATAAAATTAGTTTTACTAACGCAGAGAATGTATAACATGCAAAAATAAATAAAATATCAAAAGCATAGTTACTTCTTATAAGCAATATTTTGTAATAGGGAATAAATTTCTTCACAAGCTCCATTTCTTCAATTATTTTCGTAAAAATTACATAAAGATCCGTAGTAGAATTGTCATAGAAAAGATTATTTGAGGAAACACAGTGAAATATTAAAATGTAGTTTAAAACCTATTTGAAGAATGTAACAGTCGATGATGATTTCCATTGAATTATTAATGTTTCTGCTACATAGTTCCATGAAAAATACCTCCTGGGGGATTCTCCACCGTGGAAAATACTATGTTTGCCGTAATAATCGAGCTAGCTGCAAGTTTTATACCACTGGGAATAGAATTAATCGTTTGTACGAGCGCGACACGTTTCCATCGCAAACCCCTGTGGATGAATTGACCTCAAACAAAGAAAGGAATTATAATAAAAAAAGAAAAAAAGAAGAAAAAAAGAGATACATAAGATTAACAATGAATATTTTTTAACTGAATGATTTTAAATCAAATTTTCGATTTGGGTCGAGCATTCGTATGACAAATCAATTCGTATTTCTATTTCCCTGTTGAGGTGGAGAAAGAAGAAATTAAAATTAATGAAGAAATAATTAATTTTATGTTAAATAAAGATTCGTGTTTCTCAAAATCGGGAAGCTTCTTGGAACAGAAGAAGAAACAAATTCGATCGAGATTATATCGATTACTACGTCTAGAAAGTCTAGATATCAGTCGTCTAGACTTCCTCGAGCTATTACGAATAGAGCGATCGTATCCAGCATAATTTCATAATTTCGCACAATTTCAGTTGAAGTCGAATATCAAATTGTCGCGTTAATTGGATGAGACACTCTCGATGGAGTTATTAATAATAATAATAAAGCCACGCAACGTTGCAATCATCTACAAACAAACGATTAAAATAAAAATTTTACGCGAACGCGCGGGTTTCCGTGGAGACCTATTTAAAAACATTTATCTGCCTCCCCGTCAGGGAATTCTCTTCCTAAGAACAATTTTAATCGTGACTTGTACGTCGCGTCGCAAGAAACATGCTCGATAAATATCGACAGAGAATTGTCCCCGTGAGGATGGTGAATAAAAAATAAGCCGACTTCTTTCATCGTGTCGTTTCTTGCGAATAATCGTTCCCTGTGTTCGTGACATTCCCTAGCATTACTCGAATATAATATAATCATACCATCACTATCCTATTGTTGGTCAACGAATGGATATAATCGTGGATATATTTAAGTTCTTTTTATATTTTTTGTTAGAATAATTTTAATTCTCAATTGAAAGAATCTTGGGATATACATCTCACGGGATAAATTTCAGAAATAATTATAGCGTAACAATTAATCATTATTAATTTTTACGATATGATATTTTGTCTGAAATTATGATCTCTGAAAAATCCATATATTTTGCATTGTAAGAAGAATTTGATAAATAATAAAATTAAATTCTTTCTTCGTTGTTTTATCTTATTTTCACATTTGTACTATTAGATTTTTTTACTGTAGATACAATTATCATTCTTTGGATATAATGATCCGTAAATGATCTTACAACTGAATCATTCTATCCAAATACGTAGAATTTTTTACTGAAGAAAGACTAGAGCATTAGAAATAGAAAATAGCTTAAAAATCATTAAAAGAAAACACATACATTATTCAATAAAATATTTATCCCATGAGAACATATCGTCTTTCAATTTTCCTTAACATTATAATTATCAACATGATTGCGTTTTATTACAGGGATAATGCGTTTTACTATTATTGGTTCAATTTTCCCTTCTTTTCTGAGCTAGCAAATTCCAAGAACAGCTAAAAAATAGATTTATTAATGCTAATCATTGACTTACGCATTTACAACTTTCTTATAGCGAATAGCTAGAAACGATTGTCTTTATTTCTTTTATTCATTTTTCGAAATAATTAAAATGTTATTGCAAGTGTCCTCACATTCTTTTTCATTTGCTTTTCTGTAATACTTCTTGATCTCGAGATTAAAATTCGATTAAGATTAAAGGGTAGAGACAGACCTTCAAGATTAATTTGTTTGAAAGATATCATAATTATACGACTTTGATGTACTTACAGAGTTGATGTTTTTCTTTTAGTCGAATATTCATCTGGGGAGGAGCAAAAAATCTTAATTAATAAATAATTATTCTAAGATGGATGCTAGGACGGCGACATTTTGTACTTGTATTAAGTTAAATTTTAACCAAAGGCATGCCATTTGTTGCATTAACGTCTCATTAACCGGTGAAAGTTCGCCGTTACACATTTTTTTCATCGTTCCGAAAGCGATGCCACCTGCTGTTTCTCCTCTATAACAAGTGACTTCGTTATTCTAAGTTTTCTTTGTCTTACAAAATCACTTTTGTCTCTTAAACTCTTGTTCTAACTAAATTGTCAAACGATAAAAATTTTCACAGCGACCACTAATTATGTGCATAAATCTTTTTCTCATCGTTCAAATTTTATTTTACACAAGAATTTTTATTTGAATCACTTGCGATTCTTTGTAAGGATTGATCATGATTATTTCAAATAAACAAATAAAAGAATTTGAGATTTCTCGATCGATATTCTTTTAAAAAATTCACACATCTCAAATCGGCAAAGTTTCTAATTTCTTTATGCTCCCTTCGTTCCCAATATTTTGAGAATATTACAATTCTACGATTTCCAGACGATCGAATTTCTTTCAAAAATGTTTCCAGAATCAAATTCTTTTCAAACATTCGGAGAAAAATGTCCTCTGACTGGGTAAGGGTTCCCGTTCTATATTATTCAATACGTTGCGCTCGTGTTTAGCTTGTCAAAAATTTTTAAATGCGCATAAATTGCCAGAAAATGGAAGCACAATGGTATCATCAAGGCATCTTTGACTTTTTATTCGGTTAATTTATTCTGGCAAGCGTGAACACTCCATGTAGCTGCTGTTTAGAATTTAGATCCTGAATAGTCTCGTTTGCGTTAAGTTATGCCTCCTACAATTACAAAATATTCAATTATTATTTACCACGTGATAAATCACCATCTATTACAAGTATTTTACACTGTCATCTGTCTTAAGGATTTTAAGATATGTCTTTCGATTTATTTCACATACCCCTTTTAAATTTTTCTTTCTTCATTTATTAATCAAATATGTTTCAAATAGGTGTATCTATTGATACAGGAGGATCATTTAACTTGCAAATCAATCGTAAAGGAAATTTATCTCTTTATTCTTTTGATAAATTTTTCCGATTAATTAAAATTTTATTTAATTCAATTTTTTAAATAATTTTTTAACGCTACTATGTATACTAATTACAAATGTATGTATCATGTATTAAATACAGAATACAATAAAATAAAATCAATAACAATAAAATCTGTATCGATGGTAATGTTCGTGTTTATCGTAATTTGCGTTAGCCTAATAGCACGCAATCATAAAATGAAGGTACCATAAACTAAATTCTGCTATCTTTTTGATTTTTAATCAAATGTATCGTAATATCAAAAGCCGTGTCGTTATTTACTTTACTTAGAACATTATTTTTGCGTGACATTTTTCAACAAACGAGAATCTACACCAGGTAGATGGGTTTTGAAATCAAAGCACATACCTAGATGTAAAATTACAATAGTAAGAGAGAAAGTCTGTTCGTTTTAAAATTAGGAACAACTTTTTAAATTAATATCTACAAATGACAATAATTAATTAAATGATAGTGTCTTCACTATGGAAATGAATTAATCTTCATTATTATTATTATTTTAATTTTTATATCATAAAAGATAGTTAAAATTAAGGATATCAAAGCTTACGATATCAATCATCAAATTAATAATAAAAAGAAATTAAAACTGAAAAGAAGACATTGTACAAAAATATATTTCATTCTTATTATTTTAATATTTACAGAAGTCGGGATAAATATTATACATGAAATTAATAATTGATCTATTTATAAATATATATCTACCTTCACTTAACATTCTACATGCAGACTTTCCATCAAGGTCGATAACTCAAACATCTTTGTGTCATTTAATAATTTTCTCGTAGACATCTGTTCAATTAAAACTGATACAGCCTTTTGTAATATATGTTTCCACTCGATATCATCAATTTCATTCAAAGAACATATTATAACTTCATTTACTTCATTCTGTACAGAATAACATGCCAGAGAGTGAAATATAGACTTTAGATCATTTTTTACTGTCTTTTTGATACTTTCATCTCGACTAACTAAATTTAGAATAAAAAGACCATCACTCGCCAAACATTTTACAACTGATTCTATAACAGGCATTTCTAGAAACTGTTTAGGTGGACAACTCATTCCAACTGTAGTATCTTTACTATCAATATCAAAAAGTATAGCTTTGTATTTTTTGTCATTCGATGCACTGTCTTTGATAACTTGAATACCGTCCGCGATTTCAACTTTCATTCTATTATCAAGAATAAGACCAAAAAAATCAGTGGCAATTTTTAACATTTCTTCATCAAGTTCGACTGCAGTAATTCTTAACTACGGAATACAAATGCATTTGTTACTAAATATTTATAATGTGATTAATAATTCCAATAAATTAAATTTAAATGGTATGTATATACCTTAGGAAAACAGTTATATAAAAATGTACACAATCCACCTCCTCCTAAACCTACGACCATTATTTCGTCGCTTTCTTTAGAATTTATAACAGCACTAGTACCGATGCTCATGTATATATGATGATCGCACGCTAAAAAACCAGGATCAACAACTTTTTTCATTTTACCTCGTCTAGATTTAGCTAAAAAAAAAAAAATTATAAATAAAAAACATTGTAAAAATAATTCTAGTAAAACAAAAGGCAGTAAAATTATATACCTTGTTTAAGACGAGCTTCACTTTGGACAACATATGGATTATTTAGGAAAATTAGTCTTCTAAATTCATTACCATCTCTTTCAATCTCTTCAACAATAAAAGGACCACTCAGTTTACTTTCTCCTTCAATGCATGTTTTTCTGATCCCAATATCTGTACCCAATGATAGGAATGGAATATCATTTTTGTCAATTAAACCTTCTGGTGCTAAACTCAAAATGCATTCTCTGATTTCACTTTTTACAACATCCCAACTTTCAAATTTATGTTCCCTGCATAGTGTGACAATAGCAAGTCTATCACATTGAGAGCTTTTAAGAACTTGTTGTCTGCCTTCCTTTGAACTAAACAGCCAGTCTGTTTCTCTAACAAAATTTAAACATTATTTCAATATTAAAATATTATTAAGTATTTTAAAACTTACTTTCCTTGTGGTACTATAAAAGCAGCATAAGTTTTTGAAAGATGTCTCTTAAGCTGATCTAAAATATAGATTGTGAAACATGGATGCTTATTACTAGGAGAATCTAAATTTAGTGAAATTTCTCCAATATCAGCCACGCTACGTTTTTGAAGTATGTTAAAAATAAATGCAGACTGTTGCACAGACAGTATAGCTGATATTATATCATTTATTGATGATAACCGCTTTGGTGGAGCATCAGCTAATGCTATTTCTAGAACCTGTTGTAATAACGTAATAACATAATATTTACTTTTAGAAAGAAACTTAATTGTTATAATGCATAGTAGTGAAATATTATCAATGAAATTGGAAGAATCTAATAATAGTATTAAATAGTATATCAAAAATCAGTAACTTACTTTTTAATAAAAACATAACACTTACAGTCTGTGATAAATTTGTTGTCTTTGTAGCAATTATTGCAAAAATTGGTATTGAATTTCCATCTTCAAGTCGTGCTCTTTCTTCTGCTTCATGACAACGTACTATACGAAACATAAAACCATTATTTGGAAAATAGGATAAAAGTTCTTTTAAAATATGTTCCTGTAATAAAGAGATGCATATGTATCTGCCACAATTACGTAAAATTCTTGTAATTTCCTGTAAAAAATGAATTATATAATTATAATTCTCTATAACATGACGTTAAAAAGTACAAAACATATATAGATTGCAAAAAAAATTTCATATAACCATTATTTAATATATACAATGTACCTTAAAATATCTGTTAACATTAGATATTGTCTCCTCTTTAGTATCTGGCATAAGAGCATCCAAAGTGCCTTTATCCAAAACAACATTAAATACATCATCAGCAAATGTCATTTGTGTAGCATCCATATGTAAGAAAGATAATTTTGGTCTCGTAGTTGCATTGATATCACGCATTTGTTTGATAACAATATGTGATATATCAATATTAGTAATATTTCTACAATGAAAACTAGACTTAGATAAAGATTAACCGATATTATTTCTTACAGCTAAAGAATTATACAAAAATTACAATCTTGAAGAAAATAATTCCACTTCGAATTTTTGAATGTGACATACCTGTAGCCAGAATCGTGCAAGCACATACTAACGGTAGAACTGCCACAACCGACAATTAAAACATCGTCTTTTACGTTTATGTACTTTAAAAATATACTACGTAATTCTGGATATTCCCCATACCTAAAATGAAAGAATTATATATGTATATTTAAAACAAATATAGATTTAATAATTCGATAGTAATATAAACAGGATATACCATTCGAAATTCTTTTTACCACGTTTCCTGAAAAATGCATTCCAATAATCAACTTGGCTAAATTCTTCAGCATATTTTGGTAATAAATTCATATTCTCTACGTTTTGAATAAATTATACAAATCGGATAATATCGAACAACACGCAACTATACAATAACGTTCAAATAACCTAGAACAGTAATCAACCGTCAACCCTAAAAAAATATCAACAAAGATTCATTATCATGTCAAATCATAGATATACATATATTATTCTCTGTTGTGTTTAGTTAGAAATTATGTTAATATTAACATTATATAAAGAAATGTTTTTCCATACCACCGTAATGATATACTTCTTGAATTGTTTTACACTGTATACAAATTATTTATTATTTACAGATATATTCACAAATAAATACATACAAATAAATATATATTTCTACTTTAAGAAATTAATGAGAAATTCGACTCGTAAGTATATGAATTATTTCGTTCAAACGACATTTCTATGTACATTATTAAAGGTGGATTTATACTGATATTAGATTTGCGACAATTGTTTATAATAATGGCTCTATCGCAAGTACGTAATTTCTGCTCTACTATCAATATCAATATAGTACATTTGAAACACATGTAAATAAAAAGATTAGTCTTTTACACAAAATAGAGGTGTATTTTAAAATAAATTAAGAATCCTTGAAGTTTTTATTTTATGAATAATTTGTTGACAGAAATTCAAATTTGAATAGATCTATAAACACAAAATAAATATTTCATATCGAAGATATAAATTTGTCCGATTTTTGAAAAAAATCTACTTGACGATAAAGATATAGATTAATTATCTAATTTTTTTTTAAGTTGAATTAACATTTATTTTCTCCAACTCTATAAACATTGAAAATTAAAATCTCAACAATATAATTTTTTCATATAATCGAAGATATATACAGAAATTCCATCAATAAATTTTCATTAATGAAATTTTCTTTATTTTGTAATAATAATAAAAAGCAGACAAAACTTGTAACATGTCAATTTATTACAAACAAAGTCAATAATTAGTATGTACAACTACTCTGATACATTTAATATATATGTACATTATGTATAAATACGTACACACATTCATGACTCACATTCACATATATCATCAATACAAAAGTTTCCTGTTTTTGTTTAAATATGTAAACAATGCTCTCATCTTCAAATGACTGACAAAAGTTTCCTGTTTTTGTTTAAATATGTAAACAATGCTCTCATCTTCAAATGACTGACAAGAATAAAATACAAACAAAATATTACATTATTTTTAATTAAAAAAAAAAAAAAAAAAAAAAAAA